CTCTTTTTGGAGCTCCTTATTAATGAGATTGGTTGAATAGAAGGCTCCTCCTTGTTACCTGATTCATCATAAGAAATAATAGGAGGATATGGGGAAGTCTCTTCCCTTTCATTAGTATTCTCTTCATATTCTATTTGTTTTCTTTTCTTTATGTAATTGGCAATATAAGGATTTTCAATACAATTCACATCACAATACATAAATTTCTTCTAGATCAATATCGAGGAATTTCTCGAGGTTATATTCTGGAATAATCTTAGTTTGACGTTTCATTTCTTCATAACCGAAAAGCAAACTAAGTTCATTATAATGTGCAAGGGAAATCAAGTCATCACAATTTTTGGACATGATTCGATCATGAAACAATTTGCATTTGATATTTAAATGACCATGTTCATTGCAAAGTTCACAAGTATGGCTAAGAAATTTTAAATTTTCAGCACTAACATTTAGCCTTTCTTGCAACCATTTAGTTTCTAAGTGCTTATGCCTCTTGCAATATCTATCTTCCCTATTTGGTGTGTACTTGCAACCCCAATGCACTCCACAAAAATTGACATGTTTATCGGAGACATTTTCATCATAACTAGTGCAATCATCATTAGTACTATGGATATTCAAGGAGTTCATACTAACAACATTGCAATCATGCTCATCTTTCCAAGATTTAGTGCCAAACATTTTAATGCATTCTTCTTCTAACACTTTGGCATAATTTTCCTTCCCATCATACTCACGAAAGATATTAAAAATATGAAGCGTATGAGGCAAACTCAATTCCATATTTTTTGTAGTTTTCTTTTATAAACTAAACTAGTGCTAAAACAAGAAACAAAAAGATTCGATTGCAAGATCTAAAGATATACCTTCAAGCGCTAACCTCCCCGGCAACGGCGCCAGAAAAGAGCTTGATGTCTACTACACAACCTTCTTCTTGTAGACGTTGTTGGGCCTCCAAGTGCAGAGGTTTGTAAGACAGTAGCAAATTTCCCTCAGGTGGATGACCTAAGGTTTATCAATCCGTGGGAGGCATAGGAAGAAGATGGTCTCTCTCAAGCAACCCTGCAACCAAATAACAAAGAGTCTCTTGTGTCCCCAACACACCCAATACAATGGTAAATTGTATAGGTGCACTAGTTCGGCGAAGAGATGGTGATACAAGTGCAATATGGATGATAGATAAAGGTTTTTGTAATCTGAAAATATTAAAACAACAAGGTAACTAATGATAAAAGTGAGCACAAATGGTATTGCAATGCGTTGAAACAAGGCCTAGGGTTCATACTTTCACTAGTGCAAGTTCTCTCAACAATTATAACATAATTGGATCATATAACTATCCCTCAACATGCAATAAAGAGTCACTCCAAAGTGACTAATAGCGGAGAACAAACAAAGAGATTATGGTAGGGTACGAAACCACCTCAAAGTTATCCTTTCTGATCGATCTATTCAAGAGTCCGTAGTAAAATAACACGAAGCTATTCTTTCCATTCAATCTATCCTAGAGTTCGTACTAGAATAACACCTTAAGACACAGATCAACCAAAACCCTAATGTCACCTAGATACGCCAATGTCACCTCAAGTATCTGTGGGTATGATTATACGATATGCATCACACAATCTCAGATTCATCTATTCAAACCAACACAAAGTACTTCAAAGAGTGCCCCAAAGTTTCTACCGGAGAGTCAAGACGAAAACGTGTGCCAACCGCTACATACATCAAGTGGATCAATAGAATACCCCATTGTCACCACGAGTATCCCACGCAAGACATACATCAAGTGTTCTCAAATCCTTAAAGACTCAATCCGATAAGATAACTTCAAAGGGAAAACTCAATCCATTACAAGAGAGTAGAGGGGGAGAAACATCATAAGATCCAACTATAATAGCAAAGCTCGCGATACATCAAGATCGTACCACCTTAAGAACACGAGAGAGAGAGAGATCAAACACATAGCTACTGGTACATACCCTCGGCCCTGAGGGTGGACTACTCCCTCCTCGTCATGGAGAGCACCGGGATGATGAAGATGGCCACCGGAGAGGGATTCCCCCTCCGACAGGGTGCCGGAACGGGTCGAGATTGGTTTTCGGTGGCTACGGAGACTTATGGCGGCGGAACTCCCGATCTATTCTGCTCTCCGATGGTTTCAGGATATATTGGTATATATAGGAGGAAGAAATACGTCAGGAGGGCCACGAGGGGCCCACGAGGGTGGAGGGCGCGTCCAGGGGGTGGGCGCGCCCCCCTGCCTCGTGCCTTCCTCGTTGCTTCCCTTACGTACACCCCAAGTCTTCTGAATTGCTTCCGTTCTAAAAATAAGTTCCTTGAAGTTTCAGGTCAATTGGACTCCGTTTGATTTTCCTTTTCTGCGATACTCTAAAACAAGGAAAAAAACAAAAACTGGCACTGGGCTCTGGGTTAATAGGTTAGTCCCCAAAATAATATAAAAGTGTATAATAAAGCCCATAAACATCCAAAACAGATAATATAATAGCATGTAACAATGAAAAATTATAGATACGTTGGAGACGTATCATAAGTCATGTCCACTTCTGAAGATTCAGTAATCTTGTCAAGCTGTATTGTCCTCCCACTTACTTCTTTAGCGAGAAACTCTTTCTCGAGAAAGTGTCCATTCTTAGCAGCAAACACTTTGTCTTCAGACTTTTGGTAGAAGGAATACCCCAATTGTTTCTTTGGGATAACCTACAAAGTAGCATTTGACTGCTTTGGGATCGAGCTTATTTGGTTGTAAACGTTTTACATAAGTCTCGCAACCCCAGTCCTTGACTTCGCACACGATTACTTTGGGCGAAACATCAACAAATTTTGTCCCTGTAACAGACAATTTATCTGGGTCGTGTGTGATCGACCCCCCTATCGCCCACCTTAGCAAGGCTATGGTTTGAAACTTTGTTCACCGAAAAGGGGTAAATCCATTTGCATATGAGTTAACTGCACTAGGGGAGCTTTGTCCGCACACAACCTCTAAAAAATGGAGATTTCTGTAGCACCTCTATGTCATCGTACGACCCTACTATGTCAAGGAAAAGTGTCAAATCCAGAGGTCGTGTGATGTAACTACTTCAAGATGATGGTGAACTCTTTGCAATGACCCTGGTATTGTCCTTGTTGAGCATATTGACAGTTCTTCCATTCCAGTGGATGCAATCCAGGGATTCGATCATACCTGGAAACCCTCTTAATTCTCCAAGTGACATGCGCCTTTTTGTGTTTGCGGCAACTGGTTCTCTCAAGTACTCTGGTCCTCCCGGACCATTGTAGTAGCAAATCTAACCATGGCCTCTAAGCACGTGCTCTCAGACATCCGAAGGTCCTCATCCCATTTAATTTGCGGATGTGCCATAGGCAAGCATTCTCATAGCAATCACGCACTTCTGATAACCAGATAACCCAAAGCAGCCAATAACATCCTTTTTCGGTTTGAAGTAATCATCATAGGCCATCATACCTTCATAGATGTGTTCAAACTTCAAACACATGTCGCCATATCTGGAATTAGCGTCAGAAATAGGGCTCAAATAGCGTGTTGGGGGCAAAGTAGGCATCATACAGATTCATATGCCCTCGTGCCCTATTTTGATTCAACAGTCGATGCCCCTTTGTTGAAATCTTGAAGTTGAGTACATACTCCTCCACAATCTCTATTTCTTCAAGAATCCTCCTCACCAGCCGTTTCATCACCATATTCCTCATCATCCGACAAAGATCCATGAACTCGGCGTAGAAGTACTCCTTGTCTGAATCCATCATGTTTGTTTCAAAGTAAAGAACGAGAACACCAAAATATTTGGCGATGACATTTGAAACACTTGCCAGGCATGTTGTCAGTCATGGACAACGATAGCAGCGCGGAGGGTACCTCGTCGGCGGTTCGATCCAGATATGAAGGCATGGGCCAAGGCAGAAACACTTGGCTGGAGCGACAGAGCACCGATAAGACTTGGACGCGGTCCGGGATGGTACAACATGGGCGGCGGTCTCTCAGAGCATGCATAGAAAGTGCAAAAGAGGGACACTAAAAAAACGACAACTCCAAATGGGATTTTTGGTGAGCCAGGGTTGTCATAGTTTGACGTGACATACGTTCAAACCCTTCCAAAGCTCTGTCAATTTGGTTTCGGTTGAAAAAATTCGGACGTTCGGAACGGTCCGGACATTTTTATACTTCACATTGATTGTATAAATTGTCCGGACCAATCGACCCAAATATTTACACGTGATTTGATGGTCAATGTTGTGGTTGAGGTTTATATAGTATAATCTAATCTGTTTCACTTTCACCGTATTAGCCGGATACTAGTGATTCTAGTAGTTTGTGTCGTCGAGTCATGGATATAGAAAGCAAGAAAATACAATGTAATATTAAAAATTGTTATCTGAATTGAGGGTAACTCATATGGTTAGATTTCTTGTGATGAAGTCAATCCGAAAAGTTATAGATTTGGCATGATGTTTGCATTTTCTTTATTTATCTCAGACTTTTTGAAGATGTTCGTTACGAAATATCTGCGATTACTTCGTCAATTTTAAGATATGATGCCGGTCAATATCTCAAACATACTCATATGGATACATATGGATGAATGAGTATACCGCGTGTACATGAGCATTCGCGTTTGTACGTCAAAAATATTTTGGTGCGCCGAAAAACAGGCCAGACGTGGGATTAAACAGATACCGTGAATCACGAGCGCATGTTCCAGAAGAGCGCCACGAGTAACCGCGAGAGGCCACGCGTCCGTGGCGCTGGCATACGTGTCGCGTCCGGTTCTCAGGTTCTGGTCGTCTCGCTGTCGATCTGTTCCGAGGCGACTGGTGCTGCACTGCTCCCTACCTCGGGCTTCAAAGAATCAAAGTTCACTCCCTCGTTTGCCACCATTGTACTACACGCATAGCTTGCAGTGCTTGTGCATTTCTCCGTAGCTTAGCTTGGCTAGCAGAGCAGAGGAAAAGGAGCAAAGATGAGCAGCCACGAGACGCGCAAGTTCGTGGACGAGGTGCGGGGCCTGGAGAAGAACTGGATGCTCGACCTCGGCCACCCCCTCCTCAACCGCGTCGCCGACAGCTTCGTCAAGGCCGCCGGGGTACCCATTCTGCTATGTACAAGTACTACATTTGCTCCAGCGTATGATGCGTAATTTGTGAAGATAATACTCCTGCCGTGACAGATCGGCGCGATACAGGCCGTCACGCGGGACTCCTACTTCATGGCCATCGAAGGTAACAAACCATTCATGCCAGTGCCATTAGTACTATATATATACTACTGCGGCTGCCGGACTGTGTAGAGGGCTCACTCTGTTTTGGTCCTGGGTTAATTTGCTGCTGCTGCAGGCGAGTCTGGGGGCACCGGAGCGGTGTCGGGCGCCACCGGCAGCAGCAAACGGACGTTCCCAGACCTCAATGGTAACTCCACTTTTCACCATCGGAACTAATTGCCGATTTGATTTGTATTTACTTCAGATTGATTCACGTATGTTTCCTTCTCTTCTCTTTTTTGACTGGAAAAAGGAGGGACGAGCAACAGCAAGTCAGCGGAGGCCATGGTAAGCAAGCAACGCCCACTTCTTGCTACCAAGAACACCGCCATTTTGGCACTGTCAATCCTTTCTCCTTAATAATGTTTTCTCTTGCTCTTCTCAGGTGAAAAGCGTCAGCAAGGAGTCGTTCCAGTGGGGTAAACAGTGCTCCCCTTATAATTTTGTTGATGTTGTTGCTGGTTCTTGAGGTTGCCGAGCTTTGTTAACGTTGCACACTCGATGCAGGGCTCGCGGCTGGGATGCACTCCGGCCTCACCTACGGCCTGGCGGAGGTGCGCGGGACCCACGACTGGAAGAACAGCGCGCTGGCGGGCGCCGTCACAGGCGCGGCGGTCGCGCTGACCTCGGACAACGCTTCGCACGAGCAGGTTGTGCAATGCGCCATCACCGGCGCCGCGCTGTCGGCCGCCGCCAACGTGCTCTCCGACATAGTTTAGGGAGTGCATTCGTATCATACCACCCGATGCCCCGGCGGAAGGCGAGCGGTAGTAGTATGCGGAATGGACTTGTTTAGGTGACGTGTTGTTGCGACTTGCGAGCGCACTTGTCCTGTGTTCCCTTCTTACGATCTTTTTTTTTTCTTTCAAAACGGTCCTTCTTACGATCTCGGTGTAGCCAGTTCAAATAATAACTGCCATATCTCCTTTCATACAGAAAGGTTGGACGCTATTCGCGGCGTCTTTGGTAGTGGTTAGGATTTCAGGAAGATAAAAATTGGTTTGACCAATGGGAAAGAGTGTTCTTTTTATAAAATCCGGTGTTTTAGTCGATAATCCACCTCTGAACCCAGACTCACATGACCCTGGTGAACAGCAACGCCATAAAAAATTGAAAAAAGATCTAATGAATCTGATCTTTTTTTTTGCAAGCAAGATGAGCATCTGTGTGATGTTCGTGCAAAATTTGATGATGTCCATATAAAATTTGATGAAGTTGAGACATTCTAAGAGCGTGTGGCAAAAATGACAAAATCGGATGTGAACAGTGCTGTTTTCGTATGTTTCTACAGACCTGATTTTTTTTTGGCAACAAGCTCCTCAAATGTTCAAACTTCATGAAATTTTACACTGTTTTCGTATGTTTCTAGAGACCTGATTTTTTTTTGGCAACGAGCTCCTTGAATGTTCAAACTTCATGAAATTTTACACGAAAATCAAGCATTTGAGCATCTTCAATCAGAAAAAAATTGATATCTTTTGAATTTTTCTTAAGCACGTGCGCTCTCATGTTGTTTCAGTAGGCTTCCTTGGCGTTGCGATGTTGTAATGAGAGAGAAAAATTATGACATTTTTTTGTTTGGCATGAAAGCTTTCAATCTATTTATTTTAATTATGATAGTACAAACAATATCAATGGGTAATTAGAAAAATTACAACCGCGTCCAGATCGCGAGTGACTACAAGCACTGAAGCAAGCTGAAGGCATGCCATCATCATCATCTTTCCTTTGCTGGAGCTGGACATAACTTGTAATAGAAAGTCGGAAAGTTGTTGTTGCCAACATCATCATCCTTCCTTTGCTGTAGCTGGACATAACTTGTAGTGGAAAGTTAGAAAGTTGTTGTGCTAAGGCATATAGGACCAACAAACTAAAGCAGCAACAATTGTTGAGGAAGAAAGTCATAGACCAGAAGGATTAAATACCACACTTTCTAACTTAATAACCATGACACATACCTAAATAGATTCACGTTCTTTATTTTAATTTATTTATTTCAACACATAGTATCCCATTGTATTAATTTATTTAATAAACTTAACTTTATTTCATTATTTCAACACATGGTAACCTATTTGTATTAATTTACTCGATGAAGAAGTTGTAGATTAGAAGAATCAAAACCTATAAATACCACACTCCCTAACTTAATAACCATGACTTAAGACCTAAATAGTTTTAGGTTTTTTATTTCAACACATGGCATCTCATATGTATTAATTTATCCACCTTTGGACGGTGACCATAGTGATCACACAATTATAACACGTTTGAATGTCAGTCATATGGCATCTCTATTGACATAAGATGAGAAATATGCTTTCTTTTTTTGTGAGGTTTTGACGAGGCGTGCATGTGTGATTATAAATACTGCATCCATAACGAGCATGAGGACAAGGCCATCGTGGCCAACGGGCACAACAAGGAGGAGGAGCTTGGGGTGATGGGCGTCAGCTGTAGCGCGAACAACCACGTGAAGCAGCTACTTGGAGACGGGATGAGGAGATGTGGGCTACTTGGTGGCTGACAGCGGCAAGGAATAGCCTGCCGCCGACGCCGCTACTTGGAGACTGGACGAAGAGAGGCTGGCTACTTAGTGGCTGACTTGTCGGTGCCAACAGCATGGCTGACATGATCACTAGCTTACTTGACTTGGAGGCCTGTACACTACCGTTGGATTGGGAAGAACCGTCGCAGAGAAGCTATTGGTGCTCACAAACTATCGTTATCGCCTTCGCTCACAATACGTCGTAGGCGATGCCAGTCAAGAGACGCCTCCGCCTTCGCCACCCTTGCTCACGACATATCAAACTAGGGATTGGGTTAAGGAAAAGAGGATTGGGCGGGCTGGGTTAGGTCTTGATGGGCGTGTTAGAGAGAGTGAGAGTGATCTAGGTGGGTCGATGGGCTGCAGCCTGTGGTGTGTTTCTCTTGGGTGCATCGTGCATGCTACAACAGTATGACATTATTGTGTTTAGC